CTGAGTGACAATGGCAACATATTGATCACCAGGGAGATCACTCAAAACTGAGCTCACCAAAGCTGAATTCACTCTTTCCTGCTATAAAGTATATTGATGTTAACAGTTTTCTTCTGCCTGCACGTGTGTTTTTCAAATTAAGTATTGTTAAAGCTGAAAAGCTTAAAATACTGCTTCAGACACCTGCCTTGGCTTCTACTTGCATTTCATATAATCTGTAATAGGTAGAGTACAGCACCAATAACCAATTCTGTTTCTCTCAAACAGATGCAAACCGATTTAATTTAACACCTGTCAGAGGAGAAGGAACACTGCAATGAATAATCACTTCAGAAAGTGGAAGGAGCAATTTTCAGAACACAGAGTAGCATGTATTTGTGCACTGTCCCTTGAGATGAAGGGCATATATTTGTAAAGTCAGAATTTGGAGGTGGCATATTTGCATGTGTATACCCAGAAAGTGATGCTGAATGCAATCCTAGATTCACTAATCTCTAGTAGCAGTTTTTCAAAATGATTTTGAGCATCTCTGGACTTCATCTGTAACATTAACATTTCACTAAAACAACTTCTGTCTTACTGGGGAGACAACAGTGCTGAGCACATCAGATCCCATCCACATTTGCTAACTTTTCCCTTAACTTCTGCTGCAGATAACAGTCTTTTGTTGCTCTGAATTCTTGTATTCACTTGAGGTATATGACAGAGAAAATCTGGACGTGAAGAGTTTTTGCACTCTTCAGGCAATGTTACTTAGTTTAGAGCATATTTTCCTTGTGAAAATAATGCAGGCTTCATTTTTTTATATATATGCATCCAAAATAGTAATACCACACTCCATACTCCCAGACTAGTGTTCCATATATAGAATGAAATTTCAGCAAGAAAATAAATTAACTCCATACAAATGCATATATGCAGTATGATAAAGACCTGGACTTGAACAGCAGGATATGGTGATGTTCAGCTCTAGAGCACTTTCAGATACTCGATGCCTTAAAGTAATTTTTCAGTAAATCTACACTTCTTTCTAAGTTGCTTTTTTTGGGGGGGGGAGGGGGGAGTTGAGTTTGGTTTGGTTTGGTTTGGTTTGTTTGGGTTTTGTTGTTGTTGTTGTTGTTTGGGATTTGTTTTGTTTCGTTTATTTTGTTTTTCATGGGGGTTTTTTGTTCATTTGTGGTTTTTTTTTTCTTTTTTTCCTTTTTCTTCTGGGGATTTTTTTTCCAGTTAGGAACAATTCAAATGAGCCTTTAGGTAGATGCAATACTGCTCTGTGGAAATTGGCAGATATTGGGTATGACTGCTCATTAAAGCTATATGCAAGAATTTGAGTAGACCTTTCCCTTGGACTTGATTCATGTGAGTTTCCATTCCCTGAATTTCACTTTGATTTTTTAGGTTCAACTATGTGCAGAAAACTGAAAGCCAAACAGTTGGAAGAATGATATTTATGTGGTTTCATGAAAAGATTACATGGTTTGCATGAGTTCGTTGTGAAAACAAAATTCAAGCTGCATTTTAGACTCTGGTCTAAATTTTAAATGTGCAACAAAGTATCAGTCCTGGTGAATTTCATACATATTACAATGCTATTAGGACTATTGTGCTGCTGAGCTGGTGCTTAAACACATATCTTGAATAAACAAAGCTCTTTAAAGCTAAGTCACCTTTTCAATATGGTTGAACATTGCAGACCACATGATCTGGTGGCATTACTGTAAGGCATTCAGCTCTCTACAAGAAAGAAGTTGTAGTTCTGGAGCACATCCAAAAAAGAGCAAAGGAGATGATGAAGGGTGTGGAACACAAGTTCTGAGGAGTGACTGGGGAAGCTGGGATTGTTTAGCCTGGAGAAGAACAGACTGAGGGGAGACCTTATCACTCTCTACAACTTTGAGTGAGTAGTCAGTTACTTCACCCAAGAAACAAGTGGTAGGAGAAGAACAACCTCAAGCTGAAACAGGAGATGTTTAGATTGGATACTGGGAAGTGAGGTGGTTGTCAGGCTGTCCAGGGAAGTGGTTGAGTCACCACCCCTGAAGGTATTTAAAAGATGTATAGATGTGGTACTTAGGGGCATGGTTATTGGTGGACTTGACAGTGTTAAAGTAACATTTGGTGATCTTAAAGTTTTTATCCCACCTTTAATGATTCTTTGATTCTGCTGTGTAATGAACTCCTGTCTCCCACCATCATTCTTCATGCAACATTCCCATCAGCTGCAATGGAATTCCATGATCAGAGCACTGGCAGAATTCATTGAATACAAATATAATTCAAAAAAGATTACTCCATGTTAGATGACAGATGGAGCGATAGGTCCATAGGACCATCCTTGGATGGTAGTTCTTTTGAGCCTCCTGTAACGATAAGAAGAATATCCTATACTTCCTTTTTAAAAAATGACATTTTCCAAAGTTGAAGAGATACCCAAAATGAGGCATTCAGAAATGGGTTTATGTAATGTTATTGCAGTATCACCAGTTTAAAGTCAGACTAAGAGACAGAAAGGAAAAAACCCAACAAGCTACACAACAAAAAACCCTAAACTCAGGATTATGAAAACATCTTTGTCAGTTGGTTCATCCATTTTAAGTCATGTAATCATAAATGCAGCAGGTTTATTTTTTTTTTGTTGTTGGGTTTTTGTTGTTGCTACGTTTTTTGTTTTTGGGGGTGTTTTTTGGCTGTTTTTTTTTTTTTTCCTTAAAAATAAATCAGTCATGATTCATCTATTCAGAATTACAAATCTTGCTGTTTGCATTTAATTTTTCCTGGGAATTTCATTTACAGGAATTCCAGGAACTACTGTAAGTACTTCTCCAATGACATTAGTCTTATAGAAAGGGAAAAGAGTATGGTGGGAAACATACAACAGTATCTAGGAGATGTATCGACAAAATCATTTTGTGCAGCTCTTGGAGTGTGTGTTGACACTGTTGGTGAAGCAAAAGATTTGGGGGCTTTACTTTGGGGGGATAATGGTATTATTTGTAAAAGGTACACTAGATTTTTAAAGATTCATATGTTTAGTTTCCTGAATTTTTAAAGACAATAAAAGTCATAATTTCTCTACTGATGTCATCCTACGTTCACTTCATCACTCCTGATGGTGCAAAGTCCATCTCCCTCCTTTCCTCCATGAAGAAGTCACTGAAGTTGCTGTAGAGATAAATAAAGATGTACTAGAGGAATCTTAGAACCTGTTTCAGACCTTTTCTCATCTCTGCTATGTTAAGCCAGCTAGTGCATTTTCCATCATAGCCCCTTCCTATCTTTTCAGTCTTTGTGCCCCTGCTTCCTTGTCTGCCAAGTCCAAAGGTACCCAACCAAATGACTGCTAGGCAGTGAAGGCTGAAATCTGTTTCTCAATATGTTCCTAATTACTTTCATTTCTTATTTTTAGTTTCTTCTTCAGCCTTATTTCCTAAAGTCTATCTCCATCCATATATATTTATATATTTTCTATTTTGGCCTTCAGATGTCTTCAGCATTTATGCTTCTGTTCCTGTTATACAAAGCCAGACTCTTCTATCCTCCTATCTGACTTCTCAACACCTGTGACCCTTTTTTTTCCACCCAGTTCCTTTTCTTTTGCAAAGTCTGTATCACTCTCCGTCTGTTCATCCAGCTTTTCCTCCAGGCTGGCTTTAATTTCTACTGATGTGTAGTGCTCCTGAATGGTTTGTGGTCTACCCTTCCTCCTTTTTCCTTTCTGTCCCCAGACCTGGCCCTCAGCAGAGTTTCCTTTTCCTTTGCTAGCTTCTGAGTTCAGCCACTTTTAAGACTCATGGCTATCATACTATTCTCCTCCCCTAATACACAGGTACCTTACATTTCTCCATTGTCTGAGCTTGCTGACATACCAGAATCACAACTTTTCTGGGCTTTCTGTATACCCAGATGTGCCCTGCAGCACCAAAATGCTGTGACTGCAAGGCATCCAGCTCAGCCCCATGTGGGAGAATGCCTACTGCTTTTAGAAAGTTCTTGGATCCAGTTTGCAATTTTGCCTTCGGAAAATAAAATAAACAGACACTTAAAAAAAAAAAAAAAAAAAAAAAAAAGGTGAAGAATTCAGGCAATGCAGGAACATAGGCAGGAGGCGAACTAAATGGACTCTGAACAGAACGAGAACAGTTATATGAAACTCCTGTCTATCAAACTAATACTGAAAAGGCAGAGTTTCCACCTTTTCTGAGGTGTGTCTTTGCCTTTCTGTGCAAAATTCTTCCCCCAGTAACCTCACTTTCCTTCCAGTGAAGAATAGGTTAGATTTTAAACTTCTGCAAAGAAAAATATGGTTGCAAAAACACTGTAACTCAGTCCTGTTAAAAACATTTCTGCTTTACAGTTTTAAAGCAGAGTCAGAGCCCTCTATTGCTGAGCAAACTGGTGTGAAAGAGAACACTTTTCTGTAAAGAATACAAGGCTTTAGCAAACTGTGCATTCTCCCCGGAGGATGTAAGCATTTTGCGATTGGTGCTTTTTATGACATACGTTATGTATTGACACAGATTAAGTTTCCCTCCTGTCTGGAACAATGCTCGCTCAGGAGAGCTACTGACCTAGCAATAGGCGTGAGCAGCTCATGGCAAACGGTGAAGCGGAGCTCCGGGAGCTGCAGGCAGAGCGCTCCGCTCAGCTCTGCCATTCTGCCTCTCTCCTCCTACTACTCCTCCTCTCCCGCTCTCTTTTTCCTTCCCCTGTCTTGAGCTGCTGCGCTTTCCACAGACCTCTTGGCTTTGTTGTGCTGCACGTCTGAATAGCGGGAGGGGGATTGGCTAAACGCCGGCTCAGGGAGCGCTTCCCCGCAGCTCACAGCCCACGCCAACCCACCCACCCACGCCCGGGTCAGGACATGTCAGCGGGGCTGATGGAGGCTGAGAAGCAGGGCTGAAGCAGGGTTGAGGGCTTGCACCAGCGCTGGATGTGACAGGAGGCACCGAGCGCTTCGCAGCTTGTGAGTGTCCCACCCCAGGTCCGGCACCGACCCGACAATGGAGTGCTGCCGCTGGACAACCGCTGGCACCTTGCTCCTAGCTTCCCTCATCCTGGTAAATGCCACTTCTTTGCTAAAATACGTACCGCCTGCTGCTGTTACTGTAATCTGCCTGCATATATATGCGGGTGGGTGTGCTTTTAATCTCTTAAAGTTGCAGCTGGAGAGCGTTTGTTTTGAACAAATCGTGTAAGTCTTATCCTCTCTACAGCACTGCAGACTTGGAGCCTTGATATTGTGGGTTGCTGCAGGTAGAACCAAAAGGTTGATGCTGGCGTCAGCTTTCTAAACTTGGAGAGCAGTGACCTGTGAATGGTGATTTAACTGCTCGGGATTTAGAGAGAAGCAGTTTCTCTCTCCTTAAATTAAACTTTATCGAGCTGTAATGTTCCTGGAATTTTCTTCCTTACAAAAAAAAAATAAATAAAAAAAAAGACAAAAAAAAAAAAAATTTTTCAGTTTTGCACATGCAGAGAAAACAGGTACAGCACGTACTGAACTTTTTCCTGAAACCAGCTTAAATGACCTCTCATTATTTCTGTACCTCACTAGAGAGTCAAGTTTATACCAACTTTTGAAAGATACATTCTGTGATACCTGATATACTTCAGGGCAGTAAACTTGATCATTGCTATACTATTTGCTTGCATGCTTCCCATGTTTATCTTGATAGGATGCTGAGAGATGTAACTGTGCTGTTTGATTGACATGATATGTTCCATTTTGACTCAATTTTATGAGTGGCATGTTGGCAACCAGAAAATCTGCAGAAAGGATATTTATATACATACACTTTTGATACCAGAGTCATCTTGGCATATGTATGTGGCCCTTTTCTTAGAATTTGTTTGGATGTAGCAGTTCAAATAGCAAAACATCATTAAGAAATAGATGAATTTTATAGCAGCTTCCATCTTCTTATTTATCTGTGTCAACCAATCTACAGCAATCACTGTAAACTAATCTTAACACAATTTTTAATAGTTACATGGAGACCTAAACATTAGGATAACCCTGTTCAAAATGTTTATTTTAAATTATTGTATTATTAAAAATAAAATTAAAAAAGGAACAGTTTTTTTTGGATATAGAGTCACTATTTGAGCACTAGAAATAAGAATGCTATCTGGACTGATCTAAAAGTCTTACTTTGTTTAAAAGTCTGTTTTCCTTTTATAATCCTGAATTCACACAAAATGGTATAAAGTCAGCATAGATTCTCTTTCATTTAAGAAAATGAGATGTTTATAACCTGATGACTGTAACAAGTCAATAATGACCGAGACAATGTTGCAGGACTAATTTAAGGAAGATGAACAGGAGATATGACTCAACAAGAATGTGTAAAGGCTGTAGTATTTGGCCCCATGTTAAGCTTGTACTCATAATATTTGTACATCACTCTGCTGCTTGTGAATTAAGTTCTCAGTCCCTGATTCATGAAAAGAAATAATGCATTCTGTTGGCAACTATTATGCATTATATTCCACATTATACTAGTTTTTATTTGTATGACTTACCCTGCCTCAAGAGATTTCCCCCCACCTTCCACCAAATCTCTCTGTACCTTTAGAATAGTGATGTGAAGCAAGCTTAACTTTCTTTTTTGAATCAGACCATTCTTTTGCTCCTTCCATAGTCAGGAAAATCTCTCACTTGCTTTCAGCAGGAGATTAGGTAAACATTCCAGTATTTGACTTACAGCTTGGCTAGAGATAGGGATAAGTTGTAGGATACCTTGGTATACTCGTTCCTACTGTAGTTTATTGCAGCATGAGTTCACCTTGGTAGAAAACTCATAGATGTTTTTTGAGAAAAAAACAAGAAGTCATTAAACCAGTCTGTGACCTATATGTTAGCCTTTAGCCAAGTAGACAGAATGAGTTTGAAATCTATGACAATCAACATTTGGATTTGTGTGTATCTCTTCTAAAGGCCCTATCTTTCCCACAATAACCAACACCAGCAGCTTCATGTCATGTGGCACTCTAGTAACATCAGCAAAAGTTCACAGTTGTAAGCACTAAGGTTACCCAATAAATGCTTACAGAATTGGTCTTAGAATAATTTATCACATGTTCCTAAATTTTCAGTGAGATACAGAAGAGCAAAGTAGCTCCTAAATTCTTTGCTCAGCATCCTCACCTCAGGAAGTAGGCTGCACAGCCCAGGCATGTGTACAGCCTATGTACATGAGATGCTAAGTCAATCGAGCCTTAGCAGCCTCACAGGCTGGGACAAGTCCACAGGCAATAGCAGCAATAACCCCTCCTCCTTCTCTTGCTAGCAGCTGCCTGGAGTGGTGTAGTAGTGAGTGCAGCTCACTACCCTGCTGGAGTTCTTAACCATCTTCAGGAGAAGTTTTATTCATTTTCAGTTGAGTGGCGCTTGAGTAAGGTCACTGGGGGTCCCTAGTGTGTGTCCTGTCAACTGTCCTAAAACTTGCTCCATACTCAGAAAATCAGTTTCCCTAGGATTTGTGTGGATTAAGTATTTTCATGGCTACTCTTGAGAATCCGAGCCATAACATTAAGGTGCTCGTCTTGAAAAAGTAGTATGAAAAGGCAGCTTCTCTTTCCAGAGAAAGATCAGATATTTGTAGAATTTTGCTTATTGCTCCATGAACTTTTGCATGCTAAGGAAATAGTACTTCTAAGAGCAACAAAAGAAAGCAGGCATTTTGTTCCAGAGATTTTCCTTTCTGTTAGTTTAAAAATAAAAGCCTAGCACAAGCAAAACACAGTTGTCTTACTGAAAGGAATGTGGCCAAAACCATAACCAGCCATGATCTCAGTCAGAAGTCAAATCACGTCATGTCAGAAGGACATTTAACCACATTTGCATTTGTTATTTGCATCTTTTCAGCAGCTTTTTTAGCTCTCTTTGTTGCTGTTATGATACTTACAGAAGTAACACTAGGGACTGTAATAAAGTACATGTGTTTTTCTGCAGGATTTCTTTCTTTTGCTGTGCTAATTCGTACATGGAAAATGGTCAAATACAATAGTCCATTCCTTCCAGGCTCTTTGGCATTACACTCCCCTATTATCTAACTGGGTCTGTCTTGGATGACCATAAGCACAATTAGCCAGTGAAATGGATATGTTTCTTGTTCACATCTCAATATAAAGCTTGATAGTTTTTCCTTTCATGTGTAGATAGATCTACCTACTGCTGTGTGTACTCATCTGTCTCTACAATTATAGGTATATTTAAGGGTTTTTTTCCAGTATGAGATCCAAAGAACACAAATATATTCTCATGCAGGATCATGTATACGTACAGACTAGCATTTGCTCATACCGGTTGGGTGAGGATGAACTGAAATGTAGAGTTCAGCTATACAAAGCTGAGATTTATTCATGTTATAAAGTGAAAATATCTCACCATTGTGGTTTGTGACCCATGCCGTACTTCAGATGTGTCATGTCTATAAAACAAAACCATTTCTTATAGGAAGGACTAGATGCTACTAAGTATGTATGATTACAATTTATTCCTATATATCTCTAGAATTCTATACTTGGACATGTTTTACTAACCTCTTCCTTCAGATTCTTGAAGAACAAAACTTAGTTCTTTTTCTACCAAGTGCAGAAGCTTGCATGAGCTAAACTAAGGTTGTGTGATGAAAGTTTTTTTGGTTTTGGAGTTTAGTGAAAGGAAGTCCGCACAATGTAGGCTGTTGAGCTACTGATCTGCTTCACCAGTGTCACTGAAGTTTAACATGTTCTTTCAATGACTTTGCTAGATTCATAGGGCTGCAAAAGAATACTAAATGAAGGTATGACATAAAACACTGTGGAGAGCCTGAAGATTGGAATGTAGTTACCTGCAGTCATGGATCTGTCAGCTGGACAACCTTCAGTGCTCAGAAAGTTCATGAGTCAGTGTAAAGTCTGAGAAGGCCACATGAACAGACAAATAATTCTTCAGAAGAGGGCTATCGATCTCTGCATGACTAAATTTTTATTGAGGCAAATAAAACCTTAATCCCTTATAACTGTGTCATTAGGTGTCCAAATAAAACATCATTGTTTCTGTTGTATTGTCAAATCTGCAGACAGCAGTGTTGCTTCTATTGCTTTTCTGTAGCTATTTTCTTAACCTCGTAAGAAAACTCAGAATTTTATGAGAAACAATTACATGGGGGGAAATGGGAAATTGCAGTCTGAGGAAGGAAAAAGAATGGTAAGATCATCCTTATGGAAACAATTAAAAAGCTAAAGGTATTGAAAAAAAAAGTGAAAACATACCAACCACCAGGTGCTACAGTATCATGATGGGGAGCAAGAAAAAGAAAAAGAAATTATTATGTGTCTCAGCCCAAGCCAAGGACAGTTGTAAAATAAGTCTTCTCATCTGGTGGACAACAACTAACCCAAAAATTGGCATGAATTATTTATTTAATTAGAATATTTTACTTGGGTACGAAACACAATTTCTTCCTAACTCTTGTACAGGAATGGCTGGTTTTTGCTGTTGGCTTCTCCATCTTTTTGCATCACTTGTCTTAACAGATGGCTGACCAGTTTTGCATACTCAAGGTGTTACAACATGTTCTAACTCTCAGACGTATGTTTAGGCAAAATGGGGGAAATAAGCAAGGGATATACATTTCATGGCGTGAAAAGATCTTCTCTTAAGTCCTTAACCGTATGTGGTGTTGAACACAGACCAATAATAGTCAAAGCTTAGTAAAATCTGATCACTTAGGTGTCCTTTTATCTCAGGGAATGTAAATAATTTCATCATATGTCTGAGAATTTCCATCATCCACCTTTTAACTACCCTGTTTAGAATTTCATTCCATGTATGACCACCTTTTTTTCTCTTTTTCTGTAATAACTGAACTTTTCCAAACTTCTTATAGAAGTAACTAAAGTTGGGTGAAATTAGAATGGGAGGGAAAGCAGTGTATGCATTTGTGAGATTTAATTTTCCTACAAAACCAGCACATGTAGAAGTCTTAGTGGTTTTGCTACCTGAAGGGGTGCTACGCTAGAAGGGGCAATCCTTCTAGCTGTGCAGAGAAATAAGTGGTATGTTTATTGA